GAATCATTATACTTTGGGACGCATTTAAATTGTTCACAATGACTAAATAGCCTATGGGAAAGGACACTATAGGAAGAAGAAAATGAAGATGCTGACCTCAATGTGGCAGGTGGTTGTGGTGTTAGCCATACTGTTTCACGGTTGTGAGCTTATACCCGCGTAGGGCATGGAAGTAATAATGATAAGATAATTATTTTTTTTTTATAGAATGAACAACATTATCATTCATTATCGTCCGAAACCACTAAATGTTGCAAACCAGTAATTAGTTTTTCTTATTTTTCGTCACCTGTCAGAGATGAGACCTACTAGAGAGGAAACATGCAGGAACAATGCAGGAACCGTTGTGAAGTATATTTGAGGAAACATTATGAATTAGCTTGAAATTAAAGTGGCTGTGCAACCATTGCTCGTGTGGCTGTTCATCCAACGCAGCAATCGATGTAAGGAACTGCATGTCCACTCTCTGTAAGCTATGTTCCATTTCGTGTATTTCGTAATAAGGAATTCTTACCGCACTTCCCAATAACGCTTCGCTAATTCGTTTCTTAAACTGTCGCCTAGTATATTGTCGAAACTGGCACCCTTGCATTGCCTGCTCCCTCTAACCGCAGTTCGCTGCGCTATTCGCACGTCGGAGTGGGCAAGTCGCCGGCGGGGCGTCGTTTATCTGGGAGGCGCGATCCTCGCTTTTTAGCCGGCGGGAGGTGAAACAGACAAGTTGTCTGGAAGACGTACGACGCGCTCGCGGGGGCCCGAACGCCGCCCGCCAGCCAGAGCGCTCGCTCGCCCGCTGGCTGGCTGGGGGCGAGGCGCACGTGGCCGCCGCCGCCGCCGCCGCCGCCGCCCCTGGCCCGCACCCCGCCGCCCGCCGCCCGCCGCCCGCCGCCCGCCGCCACCGCCCTGGCCCGCGCGCCCGCGCCCGCCGCCGCCGCCCGCCGCCCCTGGCCCGCCACCGCGCCGCCGGCCGCCGCCGCGCCACCGCCCGCCGCCCCGCCCGCCGCCGCGCCGCCCGCGTCGCCGTCCGCGTCCGCCGCCCGCCGCCCCGCCGCCCGGCCGCCCCGGCCCGCCCGCCGCCGCCACTCGCCGCCGCACTCGCCCGCCGCCCTCGCCCGCCGCCCCGCCCGCCGCCGCGCCGCATCCCTCGCCGCGTGCCCTGATTTATGGCCTCCCGCGGCTCCCAATATACGACGCTCTCTCTCCATTCGCGATTTCGCGCTTCTTCGGGTCCGGGCGTCCCCCGCCGCCCCCCCCTCACCGGGCCCCGGCCCGCGCTGCCGTGGTCATTGCGCCCCGTGCACAGCCCCGCCGAACGCGTTTGCGTTTCATTCCCCCCCCTCATTATCTTGCCCGTCCAGTTGCGACTTATATATTTCACAATTAGGTAAAAAATAAAGTACGTGACAGGTGAAGAGTAATTATTTATCGAACGGTATTACTGGCCCGACAGTTCAATAAAAATAATTGAATATATTTTACTGTACAAAACGTACTAATGTGTGCAACATTTTTGTGATTTGAAGTGGTTAATGCGGATTACATCCACATGTTTTATACGTGGAATGAAAATTTCAATGCACACGCAACTACCTTTTGCAATATACTAGATGTGATATTAGTTCATTGATTAAAAATGTAATAAGGAAATGTTTAAGCATCATTACGAAAACAATACATTTAAAATAAAATCTAAAACAATTCGAGTTACCTTTCCTTCACCAGTTCCAAATCAAACTCGGCAGTCCATTCATCTATTTTTTTTCGTAGTTCAACTGCCTTTGACGACAGCAATCTTCTTTGAGACGAGAGTCATCCTAAATCTCAAACGGCTGGTTAAAGGATCATCGAAAGAGTCTGCATGTATGATTAAACAAAGAAATATTTACTGATAAAACATTTTGATATTTAAAACCGCTAAATTAATGATCATCTTCCTAGTCGTATTTTCTGACATATCACTGAGGTCATTTTTCGCACATCAGGACATACATGCATACTTCTGACATTCGAATATTACTTTTTTAAATGAACGATCATGTGTCGTGCTTGTCTGGAATGCATTATCCCATCCAAACAGAGAACAAACAAGGTTGTTTCTTTAGCATCTTCGGATGGACTGGAGAGCCCCTGCTCCCAAACACGAGCAGGAAAAGGAACGCGAGACGAAATCAAACAAACACGGCGGAAGCCTCCGACAGATGGTGCTAGTGCTCCAAAAACGCAGGGATCCCCTCCCTTTCCATTTCCGGCCGCCTTCTTCAGTGCTGAGCTGCCTGGGCGACGCCAAGACGGGGTGAAAAAGAGAGAAAATACACCGACAGGGCGACGGGACAGATGAGAACTGAACCATAACCATACGTGCCATGTAGTCTCGAACCGTAAGTGGATCATCCAACACAGAAAACAAATTTTCAGGTCTTCGGCCGCAGCATGTCTGATTTTAGCTCTATTTGGTAAAGCGCTGTAGGAAAGCACACCACTCGCACTCAGCCGATGCAAGGAAACTCAGCTGTGCAAAATCCAGTTAGGAATTTACAGAAAAAAGGAGTTATTAAAACCAAATGTGCCAATGTGTGAATAAAATATTTATATTGACCCTCAAGAATTTTAATTATAATTCCGAAGATCTGATTTTGATATTGACAGCTAACGAGCATATGGTACGCACGGTGTTGCCAAACGCACAAAATTTTAGATATTTGGAACAAATTCCTGACCGATACGTCTCCCTCGTACGTCACATACAGTTTTTACGTTTGTTGTCAAAAATAAATAAAATCAAGTTAATTTCGTAATGAATTTGAATTATCGTTTACAATCTACCGAGTTACATTTGAGTCCGAGAAACTGAGTGCGGGTTTCCAAACACAAACATAATCGCACTTTCGGCCTTGCACGTGGGGATGTTTACATTCCATCGACTAGTAAGGTCGCCGTGGGCTGTTGTAACTTCTTTTCAGTTGGCTCAGTCCATGGAGGCACCACAGAAAAGTGAAAAGTGGAGGCGCCGTTTAAGTGTAAAATCCCGCAGTTCCAACTCCGGCAGTCACTACGTTCAACTTCAGCAAAAAGGTGCATCCTTTCATTTCTTTAAATGTCCCATCATAGACACAAAACTACAATAAATCGAAGAGTACTTCCTCTTGAATGTTTATTACAAAATGATATTTCCAACTTATTTCACTTCACCTTTCCCAGACATAATTCTCCCATTAACTACGCAATAACTCTCACTTAAGTACTTCTAACAAAATTCCTTCCAACAGAATGTCGCATGAACGACTTATTACGGCTGATAACACGGAAATGAAAATAATTATTACTATCTACAAGCCATAATAATTAACATTTCGTAGGAAATTCTTCAGAAAATATTACTTATTGTCATTTAATGTTTGGCTGTAAAGCAGTATTTACATTCTGAACAATAATGTATTAACAGTAGATGAGATATGAAACGAAATTTGGTCGTTGCCATCTAGGTCCCACATATCCTTTGTGTCTTTTGAACGTAAAGCCAAAATCCATTTTAAAAGTTACAGAACATAATTACCCCACAAGTCTTGCTTTTTTGTCCCTACTGAACAGAGTTAACAGTCAAAGCAGCAACGAGCACGCAGCCCTTTGCGCGGCGTTTGGGGTCTTAGTAACCCAGTTCGGCGCCACGGCGCGGGGGCGTTTTTTGGGAGGCGAGTCACGCGGCGCGGCGCGTGCAGGCAGGCAGGCCGCGGCTCAGTGCTGCCGGCGGGCCGCCGCGAAGCGCGGGGGCGGCAGGACGCGAGGGGCAGGGAACTCGCAAAAAGACAGGCCCCGCTTCGAACCCGGCGCGAGGCAGCGGCAGCGACGGCTACGGCTGCAAGAACACCACCTGTCAGGCGCACGGCGCGGCGGCGGCGGCGGCGGTGGCGGCGGTGGCGGCAGTGGCGGCGGGTGGCGGCGGTGGCGAGCGGTGGCGACGGTGGCGGCGGTGGCGGCGGTGGGGCGGGGCGGCGGGGCGCGGGCGGCGGCGGCGGGCGGTGGCGGCGGGGCGGCGGTGGCGGCGGTGGCGGCGGCAGCAGTGGCGGGGGCGGGGGCGGTCGGCGGCGGCGGGGACGGCAGCAGAGAGTGGCGGTGGCAGTGGTGGCGGCGGTGGCGGTTGCGGTCCAAATTGCCCGGGAAAGCCCGCGGCCGAGAGCTAATTTGAATGTTAAAAGACAAATTACAGGCGGAGCCGCGCAGCGCTGGCGCCCGGACGACCCGTCAGTCCGATGGGTGGCGGCGGAGGCGGCCAAAAGAACGACTGGGCCTGGAGATTGGCGCTCACAGCAGGTTGATTCGTTTTGCGAAGGGGAATGGAGCGTTTTTTACGTTGGCATTTCTCTCATTTTATTGAAATATACTTCTCAATAGATTTTTAGTTCTTATCTCTTCACAGCCAACTTCATTCCAAGAATAGATGGAATATAAAATAGAAATCAGTACGGATCAATACGCCAGTAAAAAGTTAAATATAATTACGAACCATTTCTACACAGTTAACATACTACTCACACAATATGACGAAGCATGTTAACCCAGTGAGTTGTACCCAATTAACTCTCCCTTTTATGGTAAAGGTTTTGCGGAAAAATGAGGCTATCAAAGGGCAAAAAAAATTACTCCTCGTTTACGTATTAAACATTATCGACACCTTCAACTAAACCACATCTATCCCATAATAAATCAGTTAAATTGCCTTTTCAACACTCTCCTACACGAACACTCTTACTAAGACGCTACGTCGCAGTGACATATAAACCATATATTCTTACAACACCACGCTCTTTAAACATCTCAAATTTACGAAGTACGAAAACAAACGGTAAATCCAGCTTTAACAACCACGTGAAAATATCTTCAAAAAATGAAAATATTTACCTTCGGACACGCCAGCCGCTGGCCTTATCTTTCCGCGCGCGCGCGCGTGTGTTCTCGCCCGCGTAACAAACCCTCCTTTTCACGCGCGCCGCTCGGGGCGCCATTTACATACCGCACATCCAGGTGGCGATGGCGGCGGTGGACGGCGCAGTGGCGGAGCGAAGCGGGGCGGCGGGGCGCGGAGAAACCAGGCGGAAACGCGCTATTACGACTTCCGACCGGGCCTCTCGCGCCGCCTTGCGTGCCGCTCGGCCTCCCGCGACCAACGCGTGCCCCGGCCGGCCGCCTCTCGACGCGTGCCCGTGCTCTGCCGTGCCCTGGCCCGGAGGCCTCCCCGCCCCAGCCGCGACGCGACAGCGCTGTGGCCGCAGATAAGCTGCGTAAACACAGCTGACGACGACGTCGCCCCCGCGCGAGACGTCACGGCGAACAGTGGGTCCACACAGGGAGTGGGGGGTTGTTACGTAAGGCAGACGAAGCACGTGGATAGGAGGCTATAAGATTTTGGAATAAAAAAGATATTTTAAAATTTCAATCTTTTGTTATCTTCAGTCGGAAATGTAACGTTTAGTCTGTAACGCAGCTGTATTGTTGAGATATTTCTCGTTTGTGAAGAAAATTGACGTTGTAAAGAATCCACAAAAGCACTTGAATGTACAAAAACGTTGATGTAATCATTCCCCCGAATGCTCTTAAGCGAATTTCAGAGCATCGCTTTTTTTAATGCCGTTCTCCTTTTAAAAATCAATAGGGATTTTGGAACCAACTCATTTCAAAATTCTATGCATTTTAATATCGCATTCACGATTGTTAATTCATTAAAATATTACTTTATATTAATTTATTTTCATTTTATGCATCATTCATTTTTATGTATCTTTTTTCATTAATGTCGTCATCAATTTATTCGGACTTTATTTATTATTACTGTATTTTTTCATTCACTGATTCTTTTCTGTTTATGTCCACTCGCTTGGCGGCCTTTTGCCCATTTGGGCCTAGTGTGCGGTGCTTCCGCGCCTCGCCAGCTGCTCCGCGCCCGCGACTCGGGGCGCTGACGTCACACGCCGCGACGTGCGCGCTCGCGTGACCCCGAACACGCGGAGACTAATCGGTTTTTCGCTCTCGTGCTCGCGGACCAAACCGCGTTTTACAAGCGTTTACGCGAGTAGATATTTAATGGCTTACGTCTAAAAAGATCGGAATGCCAGATAGCAAAACGAAAGGTGAATTTGAGCAGAGATTTTTTGGAATGTTTTCAGGCTGAAAATAATAATAATAATAATAATAATAATAATAATAATAATAAAAATAAAAAAAGAATTAAAATGATGTAACTTGGGAATGTCGTGAGGTACTTTTCTTTATTATGAAACCTGATTATGAGGCTGTATGAATGTTTTATTCCTGAACGTTCTGACCTACGTGAACGAGCTCCTTTATCATTCAGTGGATATCCAAAACAGTGTCCCTAAGAGACAAACTAACTTCATTAATCCGACTTATGAAAAAGTGGAATTCCAAATGCTCCTTTTATCTTCAATACACGTTCAATATAATCTCCATACCTCAGAATAATGATAGGGAACTGGGCCCAGGAAAAAATTGAAAATCCCGTATTCTCGATTTTTTTAGTTCAAATAGATACATGGAAAAGCAAATTGTGTAAAGAAATGTTTTTATAAAGTTACAAATAAGTAAAAATTAATTAATTCAGTACCTTCATGTTAATTTATTCCCAGAAAAAAAGTTTTAAGTTTTATTTTATTTTTCCGTGAAGTGAAACGAACCAAGGAAAAATTAATTGTCTGATAATTGAACTCCAAAAAATGGACAATCCACTGCATTGCATTTGGAATTCCGAATAAATTATATTTCCATGCACTTGGTGGCGACATACTTGAACACAAACGAAAAACTCGATTAAACTGCATAGTATATCACAATGAAGCTTCCGAATCTGTAGCAACTTCAACCTGTAAGCAAACGCGCGGGGGTGAAAACAGTCCCGAGCTTCCTTGTGGCCTAGGTACCTCTAGGAACTGCGTGTATACACGAGCGAGTCACCACCGGGCGTGCGCTTGCGAAGCGCGCACTGAAAGAGACTTCGCAGAACCAGGCCGGATTTTCTGCGCGGATTTGGCGCGCGCCGAGCAGCGGCGAAGCCTCACGGCGCGGCGGCGCCCCTCCGCGAAGGTCCTACGGCTTCGGCACTCGAAAAGCCTCGGAAACTGTTGTGTCAAACGTAAATGGATCCGTTTAAACGGATGGCGGAGAATCAAACACGTCACACGCAACGGGAACTAGAAACGCACAGGAAGTTGACGGCGGCGGTTATGACTGCCTTTGATCTCCAGGGCGGCGTCGAATGAAATAAATGCTGAAAGGTGACATTTGCACCATAACCTTCTTTTCGCCGTCTCTTCGAGAGAACGGAGGGGGTAAAACGTGAACAAGTAGGTCATACTTTAGTGATCTATAAAGTTGTTACTAGTCTAAGCTCTGAAAAATCAGTATTGCAGTACACCACATACTTTAATATATTAACGACAAAGACTCAAATGAAATCACTTTTACCCACAGGCATTTATTATAGTATCCTGTTGATGTATTGTGGTATGGACATCAGGAATTAAAGTTAACATTCTTCAAATGAAACTATTTCAAGTGGTCTCCGACAGAACACAACAACAATAGATCATGCAACAACAAATTACTTAATTTAATTCCAAAATATTATACTCATTTTTATTTTTGTATTTTTTATGATTATTTTGTGTTATAATTATTAGTCCCGAAGTATAGTACAAACTATATCCTGGGAGAGGGATGTGTTCTGCTTCCGATGGAACATGAGATTAAGCGTCGACCTACCCTTCGGCTTGAGGGATATCCCCCCCCTCCTGGTATCTCCGTCAACGATGCATTGTTCCAGCTGGGACCAGCTCTCAGCTCCAGACGAGTCACACGCTTTTGGTAGTGCAGTGCATGTGCGTGTACATATGTGTAAGAAAAGAGAAGGGGACAAGCAAGAGAAAGGAAAGATCGTACACGGTCCGTGATCCGTTTATTAAGGTTCTCCGGCATTCGCCTGGTGGTGATCGGAGAAACCACGGAAATCTACCGCATTGAGCAGCCGGCCGTTGAAATTCTCCTGCAGACAGCAGCAGAATTCGACTAGAAACAGCTAGTGTCGAAAATACGCCACCATCGGGACTCAAACACTAAGACCTCCCGATAAAAAACGCTGCAGTGGGAACAGCTCTTGCCCTGAGCCATTTCAGTTGGTTGTATACTTTATGAAGAGAATTCTTTCATATTAAAACTAAAATTTGAAAAATATATTTGAAGCGAGAATTACTTTAGTGGATATTTTACGATAAGAATAGAAAATCTTTCAGATTGAGTACGCTTCTCTAAAATTTCAAGCTTCACTCTCATATCGCATATTTTGCAACAGCCCTGGGCCAACCGGTACATAGCGAGCGCCGCTGCGCTCGCTTGACGAATGCCAGTGACAAAAATTCCAGTCGTCGGCCTTGCAAGGCAGTCGTAACGGTGTTCCGCGTGATAATTGCCCGCTGGACCGGTTCACTATGGCACCGCGTCCGGGACCCCTGGACCGATTGCGGGGCCGCCCTGCGACACCGAGGATGGAATGGGGGACGAGCGAGCGTATGCAGAGCGTAACGCAATTTCGACGGAGGACATAAAGCAGGCACGCTCGGTTACATGTCAGCGCCTGTCTTGAAGCAAGTTCTTTCTCTCAGATGTGCTATTGTACGCCAACGAGCTTGTGTACTCGTTTTGGGACAGAGAGGAAGGAGCACGACTGACCAGACTACGCGAACACAGTAGGTGATTCGTTGGTGAAAAAGAAATCTCCGGGTAGGTGCTTCGAAAAATGTGTAACATTTAAAAAAATAAATAAATAAACCTGTACATAACGGAAACAACATAATGCATGAGATTATTGGATATCTACGAATGTTTTATTGCACATTTTCGGAGTAAAGTGAAGTAGAAATATTTTTTCCAGTTTCAAAAAATGCATTCTATGGATATAATTCTTTCATACGTCATTATATAAAAAGGTTCTGGTCCTTATGGCACTCGACTAGTCATTTGCTCTAGTATCTAGCAAGATGGATCTACCAATTGGTTCGACATTTTCTGGACATTTATGAACATTTATTATACCAACATTTTCAAATTATTCCTGAGATCCTCAAAGGTTGAGAAAAAGCGAAGTGTAAAACAAAACTTTAAGAAAATGCTCTGAATGTAATTACAGGGAACATTTGTTTTTATCCGATAGACGGGTAAATAAATAAATAATAATTTATCACTCCTTTTAATGAATGTAGAACATGTTTTGCAGGTCTTCTCGTTACCTGATAAGGGGTTGTCATACAAACTTAAAAGTAAAATGATAACACGACTTATTGCACTATACATCTTTCACACAATCGTGTGAGCGACTTTCGTGACCCCGTTATATCATGCAATCATACCTCGAAAGCATTTTTAAGCAAATGAATGTAAATAAAAAGTAATGGCATAGCACCATCGTTCATCAACCTGTATTCTTTGTCGTTTAGTCTGCCCTTCACTGGATTGATTCAAGAGAACCTGTGTTCTACTAATGAACGATTATAACATGAAAATGTTCCAAGAATTTCTATTAAGACCTACATTAAAATTTAAAAAAAACGCCCTTGTTTGTGATCATTAACTACAAATAACTTGAATGTTAAAAAACATTCCAAATAAAACCAAAATCACTACATGAACTGACAGTTCCGTGGTGTAAAGTACCAGCATAAGCACTTTCGTCATAACGAGTCTCGTAATGTATGTGACTCTCATCTGCCACCCGCAATAAACACCCATTGTCTCATGAGCACATATTACTTAAGCCTGACACTGAAACAACACCTGCTCTGTCATGACGCTATTTCTCCGCACGCGAGTGTAGTCGCACCAACTGCCACAAGGAAGCAGCACAGTGGCCGACGATGCGAGACGGCGAGTCTAGTGGCGCCGTCTGGAGGTGCCAAGAGGATCTCTCAAAGCGAGGCGGGACGAATCAAAAGGAGTAAAACCAGGACGCTATGGAAAGCCTCGACGTGCGAGGGATACAAATAAATTTTGGCTCACGACGCAATCTTCCACAGTATTAAACGAAATATCTTCAAGGATTAATTACGAATGTGACTTTTTGATCAGGTGTACACCAATGTGACGGATTCTAAGAGTATTATGTTTGGAAGAAGTCTTGAGAATAGGTGCACTAGTAATATTATTTATAGGCCACGCTGAGATGTGTAGTAGTAGCCAATTTCGGTCAGAGTCTTGACGATAGAAAACAAATCCATCCTATTTCGGTAATTTGTAAATGTATGGCTGCACTCGCATATTATTTACAATTATATGCATACGACCACGGGCTGATTTATAATTTAAGCACAACCCTGCTGAAAGACCTCCTAATAAAATTAAAATTTGGAACTTGTAATCAAAATGACCGTAATCGAAATAATAAATACAATATATTAGTAACGTAAATAAAAATGGTAAGATAAGAAAGTAATTTAAACAAAATATAGAAGCAAGGTAATTTACAAACGAACAGTTCATAAAAAATTATGTAGAGCAAAGGACAATTAAGGTTCTAGCATCAGATTTGCTAATTCAGTACTTACTATCCATTAAGCTCTCGTTATTAGTCACTCATGAGAGAGCAATATTCATTGCAATATCCAGATTTGGAAACCTGCACTGAATTTTATCTTTCACTATCGTTATGTAACAAACGATGAAAGTAATTTTTATATTTTCATTTCTAGGAACCCTGAGAGAGGTGGGCTGGAACTTAAGTTTGTTTAGCTTACATAATCGTACACTGTGTAGGATGCTGCGTTGCGCATAGTCTGGAGGATTTTAATATTCAACGTGAACATAGTAGCTTAATGAATTTTGACTTTAATTTGACTAAAGTTTTTGCGACTTTTTATCCGTGTGGTAGAAATTTAAAAACGTATGCGGTACGAAGCCAGGAATGAGTGCGTAATAGTAGTTCGGGTAATCAATTTAATTCTGTAATAATTAAAGAATTTTAATTATCGAACGATATTTTGAGAGAGAAGGAAAATGGTTTGACATATTTTAATTTTAAAACGGAGGAGAAAATATAAAGAGAAGACCTATATTGGTTTTCCTCATTAATATTTTCTGCACACTGATTTAGGCGACAACACATTACTTTTTATACTCAATGTGTACTACATAGGTCGCTGCTCTGTGAAAAAATGCCAGACACTCCTAGTCCCAATTATGTTTAAAAAAAAACAAAAAAAAAAAACGTACCTGTAGCGCGCGTGAATATATTTTCCCTTTCTGTATCGTTTTTCGATGAAAGTCAATTTAAATATGTTCCCCAGTGTGCTTGTTCAATGTAACACTCGTGTTCAATAAACAAAAAAGAAATATTCAGAGAGATTCTGCGAAAATTCATAATGTGAGAACATAGAATTTCCATTCACTTTGTTGATCGGGACTCGTATCGGTTATGGTTTGCAACGTTTACACGACTAAAAAAGATAGCCGGAAGTATGTTTTGTGTTCTGGCGTATCATTCGTGTGGGTTTTGTGTTCTGGTTTGTGTGAAATTATGGTATGTGTTACTTTGTTACAGAGATACTATTTCCCCTACGCGTTGTATCAGAGACTCTATCACGCCCTTTTTACTGCATTCGATCTAAAACTCTTTTAAAGAAGAAGTTTTTTTCTTCATTTCCCCACTTCTGGTCAACAGATTCGCGCAACGGAGAGAACACGATCTAACTGCACGTCGCGTCTGACAACAAACAGCAGGCGCAGATCCGAGGCTCGATCGGCGGCGCCGCGGCTTTGTGTGTGTGCGCGCAAGCGGTTGGTAGACGCGCGCCAACGGTGCCGCGCCCTGCACCCGGCCACTGCCTGCTGCTTTGAGACCAGTAGGTTGCGGGCCGCGAATTGGTTAAACGCCAGCCCTCTGGCAATCCACCAACGAATTTCACAGCGCTTCCGCTACGCTAGCAGGGCACTCACAATTCAATTCAGGAGGCGCAGGAAGCTTTCCCTCGATCGAGAATGTGTATGTGAAATTAGCTGCAACTCACCGTTTTGGGAGGGGTCAAAACAAAAAGGCCCACACTAGTTCAGTCGCTTTCCGCAATTAGTATTTTCTACGTTCGCTTTAAGAATGATCCAAAGTACTCCGTAATGTGAATTCGTGAAAAGTTCGTATCTTAAGAATGCACTGAACCTCGATTTTACAAATAGACACATTTCTTTTAGTTCTTAAACGCTTTTTAATGATCTGCAGACAACGGTGGATTCTTGAAATTTAAATTTTACAACTTCCGGGCAACAAATTGATAAAGATAAAATAACCAATTAGTGGTGCTACCACAGTTCATATTTTATCGTATTATTTTTTAACTTTTACGTATTATTATAATATTATTTGAACCCGCAAAGGAGATTCCAACACGCAAAAATATTTGGTAGGGATAGGTCGCGCACGTAGGCACAACAGAACCCTAGTCATTCCCTAAACTGTTTCCTTATCAAAGGAAGCACGACATTACTGCTCAAGTAGTCGTATTTTACATCTACAGTTAGATTTTACATTTCAGAAAAAAAGGTGTCAACAAAATCGTACCTTTCTTTAGATTTATAAGGTAGTATATTCGAGCAAAATATTTAAAGAAAAAATAGAGCAAATATTTTTAGAAAATTTCGAAAATATCGTGGGCACTTCATCCCCAAAATTAACGCCCCATTCCAAATTCAAGGAACCACAACGTTAGCCAGATCGTTTAGATTACATGCTTGGGTGGACACGATAGGTACTAGCGTTATTCACAAACGACGGAAAGACAGGCGTTTCCTACAATCAATTTTTTGGTATCAAGGAGCCATAAAAAACGTGGAGTCCGACTACCAACGTATTTGACCAAAGTAACTTACTACATATAGGAGAAATGAAAATGTACTTTTTGGAGATTATTGACCCACAAAACGAGTTTTGCGGCGGAAAAACGGCACTTTTCAGCGCAGCATTATGAAACTTTCTCTACACTACACAGCAGTACATGAGAAAGTAATAATAGTAATTAATTTGGTTTTTATGCTTCTCCCTTTACACCAATAAAACACGTATAAATTTATAATTCTAGACGTGATATAATCCACGGAAATACCGGAAACCATGTCATAGACAATTCCTGCATTATACAATACCCGCATTTTTTACTGTACTTAGCGTGCTTACCTACATTTAGAAACTGGCATACTAATTGAAGAAATATCATCGCTGCAGGTACGCCACTGAACTTTCCCATGTATGAGAAACAGTGCAGCGTAGTCGAAGACACGTAAGCAGTATCGCATGTTTTTATTTCATTGCAGGCACATTCTTCTGATGTAAGTAACGCTTTCCTGGTCATGGATATGCGAGAGATTCGTTACTGTGACGTTGAAATCTAGTCGATTTCTCTTCCAGTAAATTTTAGATTATGATGACAACAGTTACTATAGAAAGCTTACTATCTTTAGAAACAACATTCATTTACTGTTTCAAAAATCTTTCGAAGAACCAGGTAATATGTGTAAATAAACAAGGAACCTTTTGCAAATACAGAAAGCAAAACGAAACACATTGCCGCATGCTATGTCTTGCAATAAAGCGTGAACACAATGTGATTTGTAGACGATATTCGCTGCACCATTGAACTTCGAGATTTCTCAAGAACCTTCGGTGATCTACTACTTACTTACTGTACTTACTTACGAAATTGACATTAACTGCCCAATTACTATGTTAAGTGTGACTCACTCAGACACCGTACAATATCCTCAGCATGTAATAAATCACTGTATGGCGCAAGAAAGACAATAGCTAGGTAAAGGACTCTAGAAAATGAGACATAAAACTAGTGTCAGACCTTCACCAGTTTCGAATATGCGGATAACAAAGCCAAAAATAATTATATGAACTTAATGACATTTATATAAAATACCGTTAATTTTAATAAAGCACAACGTTAATGGTGTTATAAAAATATGTGAATAATTTACAAAAGCAAAATATGAATGGTGTGATGAATTTATGTCATAATTATAAACCCAATTAATAATTAATTTTCTAGTAATTTTATCTGCATCATTTTATTCTTTCCAAATGCGGATCATATCAAAGAATTCCAATGCTTACACGCAGAATAAGTTTTTGTTCATGATAATAATGATGATGATGATGATGATGATAATAATAATAATAATAATAATAATAATAATAATAATAATAATAATAATAATAATAATAATATAATCTTAAAATATTACTCGAAAATACTTATTCTCTATTGAACTTTCAACAATGGAATCGTGAATTAATACTAGGAAATTTTAATCCGACACACTACAATAAACAGAATGTGTCGACGCAATGGATGTAATCGCTTCACGCAGTTGGGCTTTAGGTCCTGATAGTGGTGGATTTTTCGAGACCAGCTGTCCACTTGTACACCGGGGCGATAAACCATCTGACTGGGAGACCAGGGAGACCAATCTAGAGGCCGGTTATTGCGTTTGGTAATTTCAGTGGTTTTTGCTTATCAATTCCATATGAATGCCAGAGCAGTACTGTAAACAGGCCACGTACTGACCACTATCATTATTTATTCACGGTTCCCTTTCCTGTCCCTGAACATCGCCTCCCCCACACACATACAAACCTCTAAAATATCCCGACTATACAGATAGCTCGAGAGCAAACGTTTTTAAACCATTCCTGCGAAGGAAATGTGAAAGGAAAACTAGTATTTTGTCGCAAATGCAAATGCTTAACCTCAAAAGCCATAACTACTTCACGATACCCTGTAATCGTATCAAGACTTGTTACTGCAGAAATGAAATTGCGATCCCACTACCACCACCAGATGGAAGAAAAAACATCCAATATTTATCACATAATACACTATAACTACTTCTTATTGTGAAAGGCGTGAGTTTGGTCCCGGGCCACGAAGGGCTTGGACCAGAAATGATATTAGAGCACTAAATGTGGTCTTGCATTCAGAGAAAATCGAGTACAAACGTGCATGAACGCAAAAATTACTACGCAATGCATTTTCTTTCCACCGCTACAAAACAGTAACGGTTAGAGCAATTTGAATAGCCTTTGTACTGCAAATAAAACTGTGCTTTAACTGCACAGACGTACTGTTAACTCAAAATTTTCCAAAAAAAGAGCGCGAATACCTGTCGTACTTCGACCCTCTCAATCAAATCGCGAAGGGGCGCTCCCCAGAAGAGAAAGTGTAGGACCGAAAGGGAGAGAAACTAATGGCGGAAACGGGCACAGCGGACGAGTGCCGGTTCCTGTGCGAAGAGCCGCAACGCCCCGACGGCCGCCCGGCCGCCGTCCGACTTCGAATGTGGAGCAGCCGCGGAGACGCCCGCGGCGCCGCCGAGGTGCGCGTCGTCGACTGTCGTCGCGGCCGACGCGCCCGTGAGACCCACTCCGCGCGCGCTGTCGTTAGGGCGAGAGCTCGTAACGCGGAGACGCGCCGGCGAACGCGAAAGGCTTCTCCTTCTCTGATTGGTTGGCCGTTAATTACTAACAGGAATGGAACATTAAAGGAAAGTGTATTTGTCTCCGTTGGCCACGTTTACGACGTACTTCTACAATTACATACTTATCAGCACTTCAGGTTGTTGTTTTTTCTTTTTTTTTCTTGTGTTTGGTATGTCTTGTTTTCCTTACCCGTGAATTGTCAAAGCAGAACTGAAAAATATTTGTCATACGAACAGGCTGCGTACGCCGAAAACTTTTTCAAACAATATTTTGACTTAGACCAACATGCCACACACGAAATGAATTTCGTGTGGATAATTTTATTTCACATATTTTTCATTATTAATTGAAACAAAAACCATATTTTGCCATAACCTTGAATTGGTTAATTGAGAATGAGATAATGATACACACGTACGTCAAGGAAATGTGAAGTATTGCGTTTTGAACGAGATATTCTAGCTAACATTGTCTCTATTAACGTGTTATGCAGCGGTCGCAGGTGATGTCATCCCTACAGTTACTTTCAGTACAGTCGTTGTCAAGTTGGAGTACGCCACTGCGAATACAAATCGCAAGGCAAACAGTGTTTTTCAGGATAGGCACTCGCCGCGAAGATTCATAACTATTGTTCTGGATATTAACGAATCTAAATTTTGTTTACTAACTACGAATGCTGCCATTTCCTTATAATTAGTGACGTAATATTTCGTTTACTTGCAACTTCATGTCAACAGATAATTCATTTAAAAACAGTAAAAGATACGCGGTTCTATATCAAGAATCGCCCGCAACAGTATCGTTTTTATACTTTTTCACACAGGAAGCAGTCATATTTTTTGGTCGCACACGTCAAAATCCACCATTTACAAATCGTTCCTTCCTGTTTGCATCGCTCATCATTTTCCACGCCACCCCACACACGCTCAAACAAACATTCGCTTTGACAGATCGGACGTCAACAATCCCCAGCAGCCCGCACGTCACTTCGCCGGCGACCTCCCTTACCTGCCAGGCTGAGCTCTGCCATGTCCGGGATGAGCGAGTCCCAGCGCGGGGCGGGGGCGGTGGCGACGTTGCCCGCCATGGCGGCGATCGGCGCGGAAGCGTCGCGAGCGGAGGAGGCGTCAGCGGTGGCGGCGTCGTCGGCGCCGGGTCGCGTCGCACTGAGCGCGCGGGCGCGCGTGCGTCCCGGCGCCACCGCCGCCACCGTTGCCGCCGCGCTGTCGCTCCCACCGCTCTCTCCAGCCCGGTATTTCGGGGCGGCGACGGCGTCGCAATTATTTGTGCCGTGCGTAAGCTCCCTTCTCCCTCCCTCCCCTCCCCGTTTCTCCCCACCCCGTCCGAAGCCTAGTACGCGGCGGGGCGGCCTGGCCCACTAGGAACCGGCGCGCCTTCTTGTGATGCTCTCCTCACGCCCCCTCCCCTCCGCCCACGCCCACAGTTAGCATGCGCCGGCCGCCCCGCGCGCGACCTCGAACTTCCGCTGACCCAGCGCTCAGCCGCCGCGCCTCACCCCACTCGACCCGACAGAAGAGAAGGCGGGCCGATGCTCTGGCACTCAGCTGAATGGCAGCGACGTCGTGCCGTTTGGAAACTTAACAAGATCCACCTGTAGAATGGTTTCCCTTCCAACTGCTTCGTGCGGATGACAATGTATGCTAATTCACTGACCTACTTTAAGCAAAACTGCATAGGGTACGTGATTACGGATGTTTGTTTTGTTTAATTATTCTTTTTGTATTCAAACTTCATTAATTTTATTTCTGAAGTCAAACAAATGCAATGCATTGCATCTTGTTATTACCCGATCTATCACGCGAATAAAAAGATAAATAAAGAATAATTGGATAAATATCACATGAAATTAAAGATAAACACTGATCGGAATTGGACTATGAGATAAATAACGAGTACATTTTTCGTCAAGTTACAAACACGTTCCTATTTTTTTAGTGAAGAAATCCTCGCTACATTGTACAGAATCACAAGAATAAATCGAAACTTGTAAAAAAGATATTGAATAATACTTGTAAATCGATACTTCTCAAGCAAATTATAATACGATGTACATACATAAAATAATAATATCCCAACATGTTACTGATATTGTCATCAATATATTATTTGAGTTTTAATAACACACCGAAAATCTGACGTGGATATTTAACGCGCAAGGCGAAAGCAAAAAACTCATTTTAATTGAGACCGACACAACTAAGAGCACGAAACTCCGGACGGATCGTGCTTATTGCTCGTTTCGATGACCGGTTCTCCAGATCCACCCGTCATTCACTCCCGCGCTTTATTCCAACGACAAATCCGCCGCGGCATGGCCGTGCTTCAATAATAGCCGTCGCGTCGGCCCCGAAGGGCGGCCATGTGCGTGGGCTTAAGAGCGGCCGGCCACCGACCCCGCGCCAGCCGTCGCCCATGAGCTCGTTATCGCGGGGCGTTGCAGCCACCTCCCTTTTCCCGGGAAGAGATAATCAGGGCCCCGAAATAACGATACCCTCTTCCTGCCCATGCAGTGCGACGGCCGGAAGCCCACCCGCCGCACCAAGTGCGCACAACTGGCCCCCGCCCCGCCCCGCTTTGTATGAAGGTCCCTCCTACCATTCAAAACGAATGTCCGATGATTTTCTCTTAAATCATGAACTGTTTCAGACACATGAGAAAGAGAATATGATTAACCAAAAATGATGGAGCATTGTGTAGCTGTGTGTGTGTGTGTGTGTGTGTTTGCATGTGAGAGAGAGTGAAAGTGTGTGTGTGAGAAAGAGAGAGAGAGAGAGAGAGAGAGAGAGAGAGAGAGAGAGAGTATATGAGAGATCGTGTGAATGTGAAAGAGCGCGTACGTGTGATATGATGCGATAGTCTGTGTGTGTGTATGTGTGTGTGAGAAAGAATAAGTGGCAATGCGTGTAAAAGTGTGTGCCTATGTGTCTGAATGTATGTTTGTATATATAAGAGCGTGTAGTTGGGAATAGATATGCGGGTTGGTGGGTGGATGTGGATGCGCAATTCCAAGCAGGACAATTTTCAAGGAGAGTATGTGATACAGACAGGTGAAACCCGATCTACACCGAAAAAAAGATAAATAAAGGAAATAATTGGATAATATCACATGAAATTAAAAGTACACACTGATCGGAATTGACTATGAGTATAAATAACGAGTTACCATTTTTTCGGTCAAGTTACAAACACGGTCCTATTTTTTTAGTGAGAAATCCTCGCTACATGTACAGAATCACAAGAATAATCGAAAACTTGTAAAAAAGGATATTGAATAATACTTGTAAATCGAATTACTTCTCAAGCAAATTATAATACGATGTACATACATAAAATAATAATATCCCAAACATGTTACTGATATTTCATCAATATATTATTTGAGTTTTAATAACACACCGAAAATCTGACGTGGATATTAACGCGCACAAGCAAAAAATCATTTTAATTGAGACCGACTACATAGTAAGATCACGAAACTCCGGACGGAATCTGCTTATTGCTCGTTTCGATGACGGCTTCTCAGATCCACCCGTCATTCCACTCCGCGCTTATTCAAACGACAAATCCGCCCGGCATGGCCGTGCTTCAATAATAGCCGTCGCGTCGGCCCCGAAGGCGGCCATGTGCGTGGCTTAAGAGCGGCCGCCACCGACCCGCGCCAGCCGTCGCCATGAGCTCGTTATCGCGGGGCTTGCAGCACCTCCCTTTTCCGGAAGAATAATCAGGGCCCCGAAATAACGATACCCTCTTCCTGCCATGCAGTGCGACGCGGAAAGCCCACCGCCCGCACCAAGTGCGCAAAGCCCTCCCCCCCGCCCCGCCCCGCTTGGATTGAAAGTCCCTCCTCCATTCAAATCGAATGTCCGTATGATTCTCTTTAAATCATGAACTGTTCAGACACATGAGAAAAGAGAATATGATTAACCAAAAAATGATGGAACAGTGGGTGCTGGTGTAGTGTTTGCATGTGAAGAGAGTGAAAGTGCTGTGTGTTGTGTGTGTGGGTGTGTGATGTGTGTGTGTGAGAGAAGAAGAGAGAGAGAGTATATATATATATATATATATATATATATAATATATATATATATATATATATATATATATATATATTATATATATATGAAGATCTTGTGAATGTGAAAAGCGCGTACTAGTGGAATGTGAGGCGCAATTCCAAGCAGGACAATTTCAAGGGAGTATGTGATACAGACAGGTAAATTAAAACGTTAAAAAAATTTAGGTTTGATTTGAGAGACTATATATACCAGAGAAAAAAGGAAAAAAGGTTTTTCAAGTTACGATAATCAATGACAAAATATTATATTATTTATTCTGAATTCATACAGAGCAAGATAGATTTCCTTTGGGGGCGGTATCACTATACAAAGAGAAGAAACACAGACACAAATGAACAATAGCAGGAAAACAATACAAAAAAAAAAAGAACGACACTGTCTCAAATCAATCTGAATGTTCTTTTTCTCTCACATTTAGTAAATGTAAGAGAGAAAAATGAAACTTATGCGTAATACGTTTTACAGTTTGGGATGCTTGTTGTGCTCACAGAAAACGACGGGAT